TTCGCCGGGGCTCGGGCCGCCAGCTTCGAAGATGACTTTAACGAGCGTTATTCCTTCTCACTTAACTGAGCTCTGGTACAAATCTGGGATTGCCCTTTCCTCCCTTTCGCCCTCCCCTTGCTGGGGGGTGACCTGGGCCCCTGTCGCTGTTGTCCCAGCTGGGCAGCTGAAACACAAAGGGTTGGGGGCTGCGGAAGAGCCCCTGCCTGCCTTCTCCCAGGAGCCGTGCGTGGGAGGCACAGCACCCCTGGGTGCCTGGAGGGTGTAGGTACCTGTGGCTCTGAAATGCATGCTCTGGCCTTCCTGCCCTCCAGTGCTTTTGCAGGGGGTCCTGCTCTGGCCTCAAGGAGTCTCCCTGGAGCCTGCAGGCCCCTCGGGGGGCTGACCCCTTCATTTGTCCTCTGTGGGCAGAGCCAGCTGCTCAACTGGAGGTGCCGATCTCGTTAGCTTTGTACCTGTTCCCAGCTTGGGCTGTGCTGACACTGTTGCCCAACAGCAATGTGTTCTGTGTGCTGTTTGGGGAGGAGATTCTTCTAGTTATTCATCCTGTCCCATGAACTTCTCACAGGTACTGGTGGCTGGGGGGGTTAGTGACATTTGGACACTTCTCTTCGGTACCCAGAATTAACAAACACATTTTTTTGGGATTTTATTGGTGGTTATTATTATTGGTTCCCACTTGCCCATCCCTAAAGTAATATTGGCTACTGAGGGGTGCGTAGGCTGTGGTTTAAGAGCCCTGCTGTTGCTGCTGGCTGGTGATGTTGGGCTAGTCCTTTGGCCCCTCTGCTTTTGCTATGTGTGAAATGGGAAGGCTAGTGCTTACCTTTTTGAAATACTAGGAAGGTTGTGGATAGTGTAGATAAAAATGTATGTAGGAATTAGGAGTGATTATATATCATACAGTAAGGGAGAACTAAGAAAAATGGTATGAAAAGGACTAAATTTCTGTCTGTGTGCACTCACACAGGATAACCTGGGCTGTCACGTCTTCGTCAGTAAAAGGGCAGAGCAATTTATGAATGTTTTTTATTTCTCAGAGGTTTTTCTATCAAAATGACTGTAAAATTATTTTGCTTACAAGCATCCTTTCAATTTTATTCTGTGAGGTCAATGTGAGAGGTCACTTGTCTGGAGGGGCAATATCTTCTCTGCATAAATCTCTTGTATATGTAGAACTTGATATTCATTGTTTTCATATTTTCCCTTTTGTGAATCTGAATTAGCTCCAAGTGCCCCATGGATCTCTGTATAGAGATGTTGCTCGTGTTGGTGGATTCAGCCTGATTTAGCAGAATTCCTCTATCTTCCTCCAATAGTTCATACTTGAGCAAAATAATTGTTTTGCGGTATGCCTCCAGTCCTTAAACATAATTACCATATCCTCTACTGTGGAAATTCAGCCAGACTGGATAGTTTAGTTTCAGATTTATTCTGATTGTCATAAATTGCATACCTCTTTGTGCAGATAGGCTTTCTAAGTAATCGGGGTGTTGCCCAGTATAGCAATGGGTCAGTTTATATACAATGAGGTGGTATTGAGACATGAGAGAGGAGAGAGATCCGGAAGTCATGTGCAGTGGTGCCACTTCTGAACAATTGGCTGCTGTCAAAAGGTCCAAAAAGAGTTAGAACCCTTAAAGCAGGGGGTGCCTTCAGAGCTTTGACTTTTTGGTGTAATGTAGAGTCAGGTAAACGCATGACAGTTCCTCTGTTATCAGGTTCTTAGTCCATTATATGAAGCTGGTGTTTTTCTAGACAGTCCTTTGTCTCTGGTCTCTGCCTCCTGCACTGTTGTCAAACAAGGATATATTTAAAGTAATGATTTTGACTGTGTTAGTAACACCCATGAAATCGAAGTTTCAAGTAGCTAGTATCCACCTATTTTGGTGGGTGTCAGCTGTTTAATTGGAGCTGAAGTTGATTACAACATGAGGATTGGGAATGGTGAACTGTGTATTTGATTTTTTTTAACTTTTTTCAGTTGATCCAAGTGCTTTAGATTTAATTGTGGTTATCTAGGTGTCATCTCCTTTCAAGCCACCTTGTGAGAATGGGCTAGGCTGGAGAAACATCACTGAGGTGAACATCTTGCCTTTTTTGCAAAAGTTTTTTTGATCATTTTGTGAGGAAAACGGTTAGAGTGGGGTCTTTCCTGATTCCCTGGTCTAGAGCTGGTCCATTCCATTTTTCCAAAGAATATTTTGTCCTGCTCTTTTAATTGCCTTGTATGGGGAGAAACTGATTTGAAGTTTCAAACTACTGTTTGAGGATCCAAATGAGGGTTCTCATCTCTTCCCTGCTTCGTGCAAAGGCTTTGTTTAACCTAGGTTTGTTTAAAAGGGTTTGTTTAACCTAGGCCTCTGGAGGATGCTCCCAGCACCTGTGTTGGTTTGCAGCAGTGTTAGCTCTAAGGTGAATCCTTTTACTCTCCTCACAGGAATTAGAGGTATTTCAGAAGAGACAACCACTGGAGTTCACAACCTGTACAAGATGAAGGCCAATGGGACCCTGAAAGTGCCAGCTATCAATGTTAATGACTCTGTCACCAAGGTAATGCAGCTAGAGCCCGTCTGCTATGTTCTGCTCTCTGACCAGTTTGGTGTTGGGCTGTTGTCATTCCCGTGCAAGTATTCCTTCTCACTGAGCTATTCTTGACCTGTTACTGAACAGATTTTCATCATATCCTTGAAGTGAGCCCATGATGTCTCTAATGGGACATGCTGTTGTAAATACACTGTTTTCAGAACATCAGGGGCTTTTTTGTATTTAAGGACATGCATTCTTTTGCATTTTAATGTGAAAACACGTTTGGAAATCATGGCTCCTGCAGTACAGTCAGTTCCTGTGGCAAGGGGCATGTCCTCACTCTGAGTAGCTTAAAGCCCATGGGTGGGTAGCAGGTGACACCTGGAAAAGTGTGACTTGCATGAGCTTGGGGCTGGTAAAGGTCAATTGATCTGAGAAGGTATTTCTGAGAGCAGCAATTGCAAAGGATAGGACAGGAGGTATTTATTCCTTGCTTAGCTATATTACTGCTTCCCGAGACAATTCCTGGTGAATTGAGGGATGAGGGAGAATGATGTTTAAAGGGTGCTGGTGCTTTTTGGATGCAGATGAATGATAGTAGGAATTTCAGGCATACTTCAGGTTTATGCGTCTAGGTGCTTTTTAAACCTAGTTGCTAAATCTATTTCAAGTTGCTGTACTAACATTATCCTGTTGGGCATGGCAGTTCTCACTGTTTGGCCTGCTTTCTCTGCAGTTTGCTATCTGAAGAGTATTTCCTTTCTGCTCTCAAAGATGCATCTGACATTTTTATTTCATAGCTAGTGGGCTGGAATCCAGTTGATCGTGGAAGAAGCTTCTTTCTATATCCTCTTCACCTGCATTTGTGCCTCCTGTATAACAACTACTAGTACTGTTTAGTAGTTTTGGAGATCACATGTTTCTAAAGCCTCTTGAGTGGATTTGGGTTGAGCTCACTTTAGTGCCAAACAAGTGCTTATTTACAAGTACTGTTTGGTATTTATGTAGTAAAAGATTTGTACTAACTGCAGTTACCAGTAAGACATGCAACTGAGCGGACAAATTCTGCTCTCCCAGTTCGATATTTTCACTTAGTGCCAGGTTCCTATACCAGTATTTGGAGAAAAGGCAGCCAGCATCCAGTTCTGTTCTCCCCTCCTACCACTCAAATGTATTTCTGGGTGGGACAGATGTCTGCATGTGGCAGTCTACTACCTTGCCTGCATGGGAATGCACAGGCACCTGGAAGGCTTTGATTGCAATTGGGGGATTTGGTGTTGAGGAATCAAATCTGACCATGCTGAATGGTCCATAAGAAGGCTTATACTGCAAGGAAAATCTGCTGGAGGACTAGGAAAGAGGATTACCAACTAGCACTAGCTTTGGAATTTGAAGGCTGGGTAACACAGATTTTCTGAAATATTAATGGCAAATGAGTCAGGAACTTCTGGATCTGACGTATAACTTCTTACACATTAGTCCTTGTCCAGCTTCTGAGGCTGGGAGCTGTATGCCACCGTACCTTGTAACTTGCTCAGATAACGCATTGGAGTCATAGCTGCAATATTTTTATACATGGACTTTGCATTATTTTATTATAAAAAAATTTACAGTTATAAGCTGTAGACTGAAAAACCAAATGGTAACATCTTACACAGGATAAATGGCATGAGCCATAGCTGCAAAGTAGGTGCCAATTGAAAGATTAGTGCCCCAACTCACATCTAGCTATGCAGTCTTAAGATTGCTTATAGCAGGCAGAGCACTAACTGTGTTAAGTGAAAGCAAGAATGATTGGTCACCTAAGGCTGTAGAAAGCACGGCGCAGGCTTTAAGACCAGAATTTTGCTGTGAGTGGTGAGTTCTTTATACCCCTGCCTTGGGCAGCATAGCCCAACTGTGGTAGCCAGATTTTTTTAAATTCTTGGCTTCTGTAACTCTTCAGATAATCAAATCTGTTTATACAGCCCATCTTCCTGGTCAAAACAAAGGGCCCAAGGAGAAAAAGGAGCGTTATGAAAATCAGTACAGCAATGTGTTTCTGAGTTTAGGAAGATGTTCAAGTGGATCAAGTGGAGTCCCCAGTGGAGTGGACATCTGACTTAGCAGGAGAATTTTGATTTGGAGGTCTGTCTGTTAAGCTCATGTGTTAATGTTACAGTAGGAGGATGTTGTGTGATGGGGCATTAAGAGATGAAATCCAGGGTTCTTGGTTGCGGTGACCAGTATTGTGAATGGCTGCTTGCTGGATTTTTCTAGATCTGAGCAGTGGTGAGGTCTGGCAGTGTTAGTATAACTGTTCCTGGGGGAAGATGTGATTTTTTTTTTTTTCTCCCGCTGGGCTGCAGGAACCAACTTCTCATGGTTGATGTGGGCAGCTTGCTGCTTCTGCAGGGTGCATGTGTCTTGCAAAGATAAGAATATGTGCTAACCAATTGGCCAGATATTCTCCTGATGTCTTTTGCCTACCTGTGGCACTTGATTCAGTTCATTGTCTGGTCAACAGCAGCAGTGCACTAGTGAACATCTGGTTAAGGAACTTGGACCTACCTCTGTACGCAAGAGTTTGTGTTTTTACTTGATAAATTCAGGTTACCTCTAACAAGCTTTTAACATGTCCAAGTCTTAGCCAGTAGACACAACATAGTTATGAAAAGTTTCTCAAGGGTGTGCTGAAGCCTGTATCTGGTATAACTATATAGATTGAAACTGGATAAATCAAAACATCAAACCAGATTATTTTCTTTTCATCCCTCACTGTGATTAAAGTATTGAGCTGACTGTCAGTCTCCTGGTTTGTAGTACTTGCATATAAGTCCATTTTGTTCCTCTAAGGAATTTTTACTTGAGCGACTTTCATCTGTTCTGAAACAGCTCCATTTTCTTCTGCAGAGCAAGTTTGATAACCTTTATGGTTGCAGAGAGTCCCTCATCGATGGCATCAAACGTGCTACAGATGTCATGATTGCTGGAAAAGTAGCAGTTGTGGCAGGTTACGGTGATGTGGGCAAAGGCTGCGCTCAGGCCCTGCGGAGCTTTGGAGCCAGAGTCGTCATCACTGAAATTGATCCCATCAATGCACTGCAGGCAGCCATGGAAGGTGAGAACTGAAGGAGATGCAGAAATGAATGCATCTGACGGGGGTGTCTGCATGTCAGTGTAGAGCAGTAAATGATTGTGGGCCAAGAAAGTTTCAGGGGGTTTCATCCCTGTCGCTGTTGAGGTAGAGGTGTCTCCAGTTTAACTGTAGGAATTCTTTCCTTACCATTAGGGAAGGAGTTTATTAGTATAGGCCTTGAAGATGTGCTTGGAGTTAAGGATACTAAGACCGTAGTGGGGTAAGGCCACAATTTCATAATGCTGTAAGCATGGTTTTGAGGGGGGTTAATTATCTTCAAGTTGTGCAACTCTAACCTGCATTGTGGGTTAAGACTTTACTAGAATATCTCCACAGTAAAACACCAGGCGTTACCTTCAGTAGATTTTTGGAGAGCAATTCCATGTTCTCTGCCTTTCCAGCTGTGCTCACGGCATGCTCTGGAAGCTGTGCTCCTTCTGTTCTGTGGCTGCCTCATGTAACTCTGCTTCGTAGTATTATTTTTTCCCATTTCCATTCATACCTGACTAGAACCTGCAGGTGTTGTGGGTGCACTTTTCCTTTGCAAATTTCACACCTTGAATCCAGTCTCAGTGCTGTGACAGAAACTACACCTGTGGACATAAGACATTGAATGTATAGATCTACGTATTGGAAACAGGTGAGGGATAGATATTTTTGTGCTGTGTTGGTGTTTAGTAAGACAAGTATGCCCACTAACTTGAACCCTCCATAGGCTAGGTGTTGGCACAGACTTCTCTTACTGATTTTTTTCTCTGTACTTTTCTACTTGTAATATTGTAGCCCATTTTTAACAAGTGCTGATGGTTGAGTAGAGGAATAACCTTTTCTCTTTTCAGGCTATGAAGTTACAACCATGGAGGAGGCCTGCAAAGAAGGCAATATCTTTGTTACCACCACTGGCTGCACAGACATTGTTCAGGGCAGGTATGGTCTAGCCACTTGCTTTAGTGAAAGCATACCTGTACGGTTAGATTGTTTTTTTTAAGTACAATCATAACTTGTCAGCACTGCGGTGAGGGTTAGCACACAGTCTCACTTCTGGGTATCAGAATTTAGCATCCATTTAGTGAGAGGTTGGGGTTTTGGTCTTTCAGTTCTGTTGGATGTTGCCATGTTGCAATTGTTTCTGTATTACAGCATGTAATAATGGAGAAACAAAAAGTGTAGAGGGATAGACTTCTGGAGAATGAGAGAATCAGAGCTAAATTCTGTGTTAGGACACATAAATGTGAACAGAAAAGGAGATAGGGAAAGGTTGAAAGTGATTCCATCTGTGAGTACACATAGCGGACTTGATACTAGCCTGTTCTCAAACTACCCTGTAGGTTTTTTGTTATTGCTTCTTAGATCTCAATTTATAGCACCTCCACTCTACACAGACTCATTCCTACCTTTGCTGTTATGATTCCACATGTTGTAGTGGAAGATGAGAGTAAGTGGGAGGAGATAAGGCCATTAGTCTCTAGAGATGTAAATCTGCTGGAAACTTTGAAGTCGTGAAGAAAACTATTTCTTCTGTGTGGGAAAGAGAATAACTGTAGGTATTTCATTTTTGACCAATTAAACAAAATAGGTTTACTTTCCATATGGGGAAAATATTTTCTCTCCAATAACCTCTTACATCCTTGGGAAACGTCCTTCCCTAGAAACTTGAGAGTTTTTTTCCAGTAGACTTCACATGCCTGGAAGATTACCGAACTCTCACATCTTTTGTGAGAGTCAAATGCAGTCAGTGAGCCAGGCACTTCTCATTTCTCGTTGAGCAGAGCTATGGACCAGAGCATGGTGCTGAAGAAAAATTTTTTTGTGCATTAATTCTTGATACAACCTTTTTTTGCAGGCACTTTGAGCAGATGAAGGATGATGCCATAGTGTGTAATATTGGCCATTTTGATGTGGAAGTTGATGCAAAGTGGCTGAATGAAAATGCAGTAGAGGCGGTGAATGTTAAACCTCAGGTGAGACAGCCCTTGCACAAGCTCTCCTGCTAGAAAGAAGCAATAGCTACTCCATGTCTGTTTCCAGAAAGGGAGCTCTTTCTCTTCAGGTACTTTGTTTCTAGCTTTCTGGGAGGCCAGTGTTGCTCTGGACTGATGAGAATGGAGATTCTGCACTGCATTTCCCTGATTAACCTGGAACAAGCTAATACCAACATGTCAGTCTTGTGTTGATATTAAAGCAATTGGTTCCAGCCAGTGCCCAAGTGTACAGTGTGGCCTCTGGCTAGAGGCATGTGGTATGGTACATCTTTCTCCATGTTTCTACTTCCTTGATAAACAGGAGCCTACCCCTTAGTGGCAGTTGTGTAGAAAATTAACTGCATCAAGTTCATTCTATACAGGAAGTCAGCTTTGTTTGGGCTATGGTGAGGAGGTATGGAAAAGTGCTTTATTTGATAGCCTCCAGATGAAAACAAACTCAGTTTCAAAAAGAAAGTTAGATGATGAATACAGGACAGACCATTAGAGGCTGTATAAAACTTTTTAATAACAGAGCTCATAGATTGCCTGCTATCGGATCTGAATTTCCTCTCAGGAAGCTGCTCGCTCGTGTACTGCTGTGCACCAGAAAAGTCTTGCCCTTGGTGCAGGGTGCCAGGATTAGAGTGAATCTCAAGGGAATATATTCTGGGATTCTGTCAAGGTTTGAAAATATTCACATGTCTGTTTTCAAAGCATTTTTTTATTAGTCAGAGATGGAAGCCGTAGGAAAGCCTATCAGGAGGTCTGCCAAACTCAGACTTCTCCTCCAGACTTAGTGGCTTCATTTTAGAAACCTGTGTAGACCAGAAGTCTATGCGTGGGCAGACAAGACAAGATGTTTTATCCTTGCTCAGCTTGCATTCCCACCATATATTTACTTCAAGCTACGGCTGTAGCTACACAGGAAAATAGGGATATAAAATTTCAAATTTTCAGCTGTGTGTTCTAAAACAGAAACAAAATTAAACTAAATCAAAACTGTTTTGTAACACCAGCACTGAGGGAGAACACCACGAAGGAAACCAGGCTTTGTCTGACTCGGCATGGGACTTCTAGTTACCTTTTAAAGAGGGAGTGTGGTTGCTGATAGCAGGATTCTGGGACAGGTTTTCTACTTCCTTATAAGCACCACACCCAAGCATATGTCTTAATAGATCTCAATCTGCCCTTCCAATTTGCATAACTCTTCTGTGGCTTATTGGCCACCCACACTGAACTTACTAAGCAGTTTTGAGAGTCTTTTCAGTATCCTCTGTGCTGTTGGGACACTATGTGGGCTCAACTAGGTATGAAGTTAGACCCTCAAGTTCTCACTACATGCAACTCTGTTCTTGCCCATGGTATTTAAAAGATGTATAGATGAGGTGCTTGGGGACATGGTTTAGTGGTGGGCTTGGTAGTGCTAGGTTAACAGTTGGACTTGATCTTAAAGGTCTTTTCCAACCCAGGTGATTCTGTGACTTTAGTGTGGAGCTGACTTTGCTCAACAGCTCTTGTCCTAGAGGAGCCTGCAGCCAGCTGCCTGCTTTCTGGTAGCTCAGATTTTAAAACTAAAACTGGGATTGCTCAAAAAGTAAACATTGAAGGCTAAATTGGGTGTTAGTATGATAACATACAAACTACCTGCACATGGCCATTCAATGTGGCTCAAAGTCCATATGAAAAATTGTGTCACTGTTGGCAGAGGCAGTCCCTTTTTCTTTATATACTGTCTTGAAGGAGCCAGTCTGTCACATGTATTAGGTGCAGTGAGGTGCAGTCTAGTCCAAGGTACGAAAACTGTAACAAGTTTCTGGTTAAAACCAGAATACTACCTTTTGAAAAGGATGGGATTAGAGTCAAGGTCGTCCATATGGTTTAATGCTGAAGACCTGCCTCCTACCCTGAATCTCTCAGGTCTGTTACATAAACCACTGCAGGTGCAAGCAGGATGTTCAGTGTGACACTAAGGAGATACCTGCTCACAGAGCAAAAGCTGTGAAAATAGCTGCCCAGCCTGCTGTGGGTGTCAAATATGTTTGCTTAAAAGCCATTAGCTGAAGTTTGTAAAAGGTATGTCTGACAGCCCTGAGTGGACAACCTCTGTCTCAGCTTGATGCACAGATAGCTGAAGCTGAGAGTATTTACTGGGGAAAATAGCACTTTACCCTTGGGCTGTGACTTAAGCCTCTGCTGGTACCACTACTATTTTGTATGTGCTTCTGTGCAAAGACATTAATTTGCATTTTCTGTGTTACCCGGTGCATTGAATGAGTCATGCCAGCAGATTGCCAAAGGTATGTGATTTCATGCACAAGCCAGCAGCTATCCCAGGTGCAAGCTGCGTGGATATTATATGGATATAACATTTTGACACCTATACCACCTGATTCAGACTTCAAAACTGAAATGCTACTTAACTGCTACCTTGTAGTAGTTTGATCTGTAAATATAATGTTTAATATAAGTGATATTGTAGCTGTTCTCAGGGTTTTTAGTGTTCTGCTTTCTGGCCGCTTCCTCCTATAATCTTATGCTAGCCCATATGGTATTTTTTGGGTGGGCTGAGCGCTGTCACTGGTGGTCCACAATGGAGAATCAACATCCATAAGAAATATTGCAACTGCTTACTGGAGAGCGTTCTTACTAACCCTACATTCTTGTACTGTTTTTGAAATTAATGTTATTTAGGGCTTCTCTTTGAGGTGGTTACTGTCTGTATATGTTGTGCTGAAAACATAATACTCTGTTATATGAACCCAAGAAGTAGAAAATAGTGCTGTGATTCAAGCATAGCTGGGGAAGACAGGTAGAGGCACAGACCTGCTCTAAAGGCAAAACACCTGTTCTAATAAAATGGTTTGTATTGGTTTACTTACTATATCTCTGCTAAGGACCTGCGCAAAGATATTTTTTCAGAAGATGGTATTGTAACAATTAAAGCTTCATCCTGCATGGCTTTTAACTTACAGGCCAAAGCTCTAAGAATAAAACTGAAAGTGATGTGTGTTTTCCTTCATATTAAATAACTTCTGAGACTAAAAGTATAAATACAGCTGTGGGGGGGAGCCTTTAGGTCTTTCACAGTTGCTGTGCTATGACAGTATAAGATAAACATACTTGTCTAAAGCATTAACCTTTGACAAAGTTAGTTGATTATCTTTTAAGTCTTTCCAAAGGTTTGCTCTACTCCCACATGCTCAGTGTGACATTCAATATTCACTGGTATTTATTGCTTATTTTTCTAACTTATAGGCCATATTGGCATCTAATTCTGGGCTTTAATATTGTAACTTCCTACAGGGGTGAAGGCAGGGGAGAGAAGAGCTAGTCACTGGTGGAAAAGAGAAGCGGAGTTAACTTTAACATTGCAGGAGCCCAATCTGGACTGACAGTTGAGGCACGTGTTAAGTGATGTTATCTTCTGAATTGTGTGGGACTCTCTCATATAGCTGAAGACCCATCTCCTTAGCCCATCTGAGACTTGATTCTCTGTGCAGAGTCCTGTTGTCCCCAGCTTAGCTTGGAAATCAGTCTGAGTGGATGACCGTGTCTTTGGCACCCTGAGAGCAAAGGAGGGTACACCAGAAGCTATGACAGCTGTTTATTATACTGTAAAGCACTGGCCTTATGGAAGTGGGAAGAGTTACAGGGGAGCAGTTTCAGCAGACTGAGGACTCTGGCTCTTACCCTTGTGTTAGATGCAAAGGCTCTTGACTGTTGCATGCAGAGGTGTTCCCTCTTCTCTTCTGTCTCCACACCAGATAAATTAGGCATACATAAACTGCATTTTACTGCTAGCAGCATGCTCTCCACCACAGTCATCTGAGACAACATGCATGTGGAAAAACCAGAACAACTGGGCAATTGGTTAAATAAGAAGCAGGTGCTAAGTTAATGTTGTGTGAAGTCCAGAATAGCCCCAGGCTTAGCACTGGCTGGGGATTGAGGGAGCAGTGCCTCAAGTGTAATAAAAGTCTGTGTTGCAAGCCCACTGCTGAATTATTGATGTGGGAAGAAAGCCCACCAAGCTTTGCATGATTTAAAATGCTCTCTTACCCTGACATCAATTCTGCTTTTGCTTTTTCCCACCCAGGTGGATCGCTATACACTGAGGAATGGCCGTCATGTTATACTGCTAGCAGAGGGCCGACTGGTCAACTTGGGCTGTGCCATGGGTCACCCTAGCTTTGTTATGAGCAACTCCTTCACCAACCAGGTGCTGGCACAGATCGAGCTGTGGACCAATAGTGACAAATACGCTGTTGGAGTCCATTTCCTGCCAAAGAAGGTGAGTTAGAATAGCAGAAAGGTGCAAGCTTGTAAGGAAGCCAACTTCAGATGTGATTGTGTAGATTTGTTTTGTTTGTGCTTGAGTTCATTTTCCTACTGAATATTGTTGTTGCAATGAGCTGCTGTCCCTCAGACTGCTTGGCGTGCTCATGCTCAGTCTGAAGTGGGCTGTTTTTGTGGATAACCTGTCTTGCAGAACTGGGACTTGTCTGTCATGTGCGATAGGAACATCCAGTCACCTTTTGGCTTGACCTGAGGCTCTTACCTAAGGTGCTGGGAAGCCCTGTGCTACCTCAGCATAGTCAGGGGACTTCTCCCGATTAACTTGTTCCTTCTGCTGAATGTCAGCATTCACATTAACCTTTCACATGCCTATCCAGTGGCAAAGGCTAGGGGGGCAGTGTTGAAGCTAGAGTGAAACTAGAAATTGCTTTTACTGTGGTTGATAGTCTGGGTCCCATTTGTGTCTGAGTAGAGTTTATCACAATCTGGTCCTAATAGCTTCATAAAATATTAATGACAGATTCCCTCCGGTTTCCCTTTAAACTCATCTCTGCATTCTTTGTTCTTGGAAAAATCTGGATCATGTCACAACTCACAAATTTCTTTTATAAAACTAACCTGGTTTTAATTTTCCAAAACAAGCCTGAGAATTTGAGATGGTCATTGAAAAAGATGCTGGAGTTGAATCCACTGCCTTTGGAATGCAACCAGGTGTGAGACTAAATGTGAAAATACTTTTCATTTGGGAAGTAGAATGTGTATGTTTGGGCTTACTCATGAAGAGTTTGCTGAAGGACTTAAGCTTCCAAAAACATCCGTTAATGATCAGGCAAAGCATACCAGAAATACAATGTAGGAGTTGATCAGCAAGCTGACACATAATCATCTTCAAAGGAAAAATTTTGTTGACAATTATCTCAAAAATGATAGTCTAATGTTGCTAATGTGGCTTCTTCCTGAATAACAATTTTAGTAAGCATACTTGAACTGGAAATGCGAATTAATGCCCAGATCAGTTAGAGTTGCATGTTAGTGGAGCATATGGCAGTGATCTTCTCAGGTTCATATACTGTGACAAAATACTCTTTTTACCCTCTGCACTCCATAGAGGATTTCAAAGAATAAAGCAGTTGCCTTGTTAGAACCAACAAAAGATGGGCAGAAAAGCTTTTCTGATAATTTTCTGAATAGTATCTTTCCTTGTTCTGTGTAGTAGCTTTGAGGTCCAAATATAAAATTTAAGAATTACCAAGTATCTTACATTGCAATTTCTTTGCGAGACTATCACTTTGATCAACTGTGACAAATATGCACACATTTCTGCAGTGTATGTTCCTAGAAATCTAGGCAAACTGTTGTGTCCATGTTCTTGGCACCAAATCTTATATCCATCCTTATGGTCAGGTTTTGTCTGATTTTTAAGGTAAGAATGTCAGCTTACCTTCATCAAAATTTGTGTACCTTTTTGTCTAAAGAAGCTTGAAGTCCCCAAGCTGAAGCAGCTGTGGAACAACTTCTCTCTACTGCAGTTTGAGAACCTGATGTGGGAAATGTCAGGGACTCATCTCCTGTTCAAGTGGGTATAGTCTGTCTTAAACTTGCTGGAAATGCACCTATCAGATCTTCACATGTCAGTCTAGTCAACCAGATATGCACTTAATTTTTTAACCTTTTTTTTTTCTGGCAGGGTCTACTGAGCTTAAATACTTGTTGCCCTTCTAAACACAGTCCTTCCAGTTAGCTCTTCTTTCTTTCATGATTTTCCTGACTCTTATGTGGTGTTTGGTAGCTTTCATGATTCACTTCCACATTCTTCAACCACTTCATCTTATGTTTTAAATTTTGTCTTGTACATCTTCGGCTGTGTCGATTCTTAAGAGATGTTGTCAGTTCCACATTCTTAAGAGATGTTGGCAGTTCTTCTATGAGCAGGTTGAGCTGCAGTGAATTATACTCTGTACAGATGTAGCTTTTTACCTGGTTCATTACAATGGGATTACTTCAGAGTAGTTGCTTGTTACTACACTCTAAGCGGGAAATCTAGGACTAGTTATTGAATCCTGTAGGACACGCTGGTGCACACAAGCTGAAGATCTGGCTTGTGATTGTTTTGTTGATTTGTTGCCCTTCAAATATATAGCAACCTTTCACATCTGTTTAACTAGTATAGGGGAAATATTGCCAGTCTTTCCTGTGCTGCTGGAATTTAGACTACCTTATCTGTTTCCTTGGCAAATGGTGGTCAAACTTGTCCTTCTATTGTAACTCAGCAGTACCTGGTCCCTCTTAGTGCTGTCCTTTCTGTCTTTGAATACCTTTTATGGCTGTACATTCCCTTCTGACATAGCAGCTAGTTTGCCATTTTACTGTTTGTTTTCTGACTGTTCTGCACCTATCTTGTATAGCACTTACCTGTATTGTAACTTTACATGTTTTTCAGTCCCTTGAATTTGTGTGTCTGCTTGACACCTCTGGGATAAAGAAAGTACATCAACATTTCTGAGCCTATGTCCTACAGCCCACCTTGGCTTTAGTCTTCATTGAGACAATGCCAATAGATAGTATTCTTGCTGAATTAATGATTCTGGATTTCACTACTTAATACATGTACCTCCAAGATGGGATATCTAGAAAGGAGATACATTCCCCTGCCCCAGTATAAGAACTTACCTAAAATTGTAAGATGATAGTCTAGTATGTCCAGGTGTCTTTGTAGTGGAAACATGACTGGGATTTTACCATTCTACCAAACTGGATATTCTTATCTCTGAGTAGTTTGATCTCTGTTCTTGTTGGATAGATGTGAATATGTAAATGAGATCGAAATGGGCTTGATTATTTGGTTGTCTTGCTTGATTATAAGGTTGTCTGTCTCACTTATGCTTAAATTGACTCTGTCAAAAGCATGGTGCTTTTCCATCTGTGCTCAAAACAGCTGCCTCTGCACTCAAGCGGGTGGGGTATACTGGCAGGAAAAGAGCTGCCTAACTGTTCATCAGTGTCAGTCTGTTAAGCCCTCCTTGGGGCTGCTGTCGGTTTTCACATATTCATTTCTTACTATTGAGCATGACTTCCTGAACTAACAGGACTCTGTTCTGCTAATATTCTTGTCTCAATGTTTTCTTTTCCAGCTGGATGAAGCTGTGGCTGCTGCTCATCTGGATAAACTGTGTGTGAAGCTGACAAAGCTGAGTGACAAGCAGGCCAAATACCTAGGCTTATCAAGAGATGGGCCATTCAAGCCAGACCACTACAGATACTGAGCAGGTGGCACTACCCAAAGACCAAAGTGCAGGGATACAACCTTCCAAAGCTCTTGTGTGTGCTGGGCTTCTGAGAACAAGAACAATATTCCTTTCAGTGCTGCAGAACCCCTCCCCTTACCAAGGGAGCTTCAGGGCCTTATTTCTTAGTGAAAGAGGATCACTCTGACTCTTGGAATTAGAATTGGTTACTTAGCTAATGTCATGGTGAAAAGGATCCTATGCGCCTTTTATTAGCTCCTAATGTCCCAATAAGGAGAGCAGGACGGAAGATTGCTAAATGAAAATGCGTAGTCTTGTCAAACACATGGCTGACAGCCTCTTTGAACAGACTAACCAATAAGATGGGGAATGGTTTCTTCAGAGATGCTTGCTGCAATGCCCTGCTCTAATTAGATGAATCCTATTAGGAGGCTGACAGTGTTAGGCCTCTCTCCACAAAGATGCCCTAGCTGAAGTGCATATTGTGAAACTGGAGGAAGTGAGGAGGAGTATAGGTTTCTTGGTCTCCTTCCTATAAAATCAACTTAATCTCCTACTTGGAGATCAGAGCTGGAGTTTTTTTTCTGGGTTAATTTACTCCATTGGTTTTGGTTGGAGCAAAGACCCTTCTATACTCCTTCCATACTGACTCAAGGAGGTGTGTGAGGCAAGAGTGACTTTTTTTAGCAGCTTTCTAGTGTGTTGTGAACAGCTGAGAAGCCACTGAGGGATGGTTAGGTTGAGGGACCTTGTTCGATCCTCTGAAAGCACCAGCAGCACGCTTCTACCCCCAACTTGATTTTTCTGAGTTGCCATGTCTGCTGTATCATGTTTGTCACTGGCTCAAAGTGCTTTTATTAAAGATCTGACTGTGGCCTGACTTGTTTTTTTTTATAGTGAGATGCTTTTGGTTTTGCTGTGGGTTTGTTTACTGTTGTGTGATCCTTAAGCTACTGAATATATTTAATGTATCCACATGGGGTTTCTCCAGGCAAAAGCTGGTGCTGTGGATAGCCTGCATCATATACTTGAGCTGGGAAAAGCTCATCCTCAGGTTATTTAAATATTTGGAGGGCTGAATCTTACAGGAAGAACACTCTTCCCCTCTGCCTGCACAGATTTGTCTCCAAGTCAAATGGAAGTCCTCTCTTGCCACTGTACTCTTCACTCAACATTATACAGCAGGCCACCTCTGCTTCTGGATGTAAAAAGACGAAATGTTTGGTATGATGCTAAAATATGCCTGAATTGCTCTGAGATTCATGCCCAAGTACCAGGTGTGATGTCAGTGAGAAGTTAAAACACAAATGGTGTAGAGCATGAACTGCTGGAGGAGGAAAAAAGGGGATGAGTAAACAAGGTGTTGCTCAGTAAGCAACTCTTTCCATTGCTTTGTTTTGCATCAACCTCTTTAGAGCAGCACCAGTTTTAACAATCTGGGTCCCACAAATCCCAAAGGGGATTTTCCTTTAAACTTACTAAGTAACTCCACACAGACACACACCGTTGTGGTACGTGCCTAAATGTAGGTGGTGGTCATGTTGTGTCAAACAGCGGCATGTGGCAGAGAATAACGATGATAGAAAATGTCATTGTAGTAGAACAAATGCAATACAAAAACAAAAGGACTGGGTGTTGTCCTTCTTACTCTTCATCAGTTTCCTCTAGCTGGGCTTTGGCTTCTCTAAACTCATTTCTCAGCTGAACATCTGCTACCCTGAAGTACAGGGTTATAATTTTGCTGTTGGACTTGGATCATGGATTCATAGAGTAATTTAGGAAGGGCCACCTGGAGGTCTCTGGTTCATCTCTGACCTTGTACCAGGGCCAATTAGATTAGGTTGGACATCATCTTGCACAGGTGAGTTTCAGTTGTTTCTGGGGACAGAGATCACCATCTCCTTAGGCTTGTCTCCCAGTATTTGACCACCCTCAAGATGGAAGTATTTTCTGTACTTGTAACTGGAATTTCTTATGTTGCAGCCTATGCTCATTGCTTCTCATTTCATGCCTGTGCACCTGTGAGAAGGGCCTAGCTCCAGCTTCACTACATGCTTGCATTAGGTAGTCACAGGCAGCAATAAATCCCCCTTTACCTTCTCCAGGTTGAATAAACCCAGGTCTTAGTCTCTTTGTGCATCCTATGCTTCAGTCCCCTGATCATCTTGGTGGCCCTCTGTACTCAGATGCTCTTAGCCATGTCAATGTTGTCATTATACTGAGAAGCCAAAACTGGAGGCAGGTGTCTGACTGCCAAACCTGGGAGAAGGTTCCCTTCTCTTGAGCTGCTGGCTCTGCTTTTGTTGGTACAGCTCTGGATAATGTTTGGCTGCTTTACTACATGGACAGTCAAGGACCTTACACTTCACAGTCTCTGGAGGAAAGGCTGCCTTCAGGTTTCCATCTTTGATCAGTTGTGTTTGGGGTTTTTTTGAGTAACAGATCCAGCAGAGCATCTCCCTTAGTTGGCTCATTGACCACCTGTGTCAAGAAATTGGCCTCAATGGTCTCCATAAATCTTCTGGATTGTTTGTGCACAAACCTACTGCCCTTCCAGCAGGTGCCAGAGTGGTGGAGATGAAGTCTGCCAGGGTTTCCTATCAAAAGGCTTTTTCCAGCTATCTGAAGAAATTTTCAGCTACTTGCTATTCTGGTCAGGTGGTCTTTTGGATGCCCACCACAGTGCCACCTGAGTTGGTCTGTCCTGTCATACTTAACCCAAAAACTTCAGCCTCAATTCCCAAAGAATTGCAGTCTCTTGGAAGTTAAAGATGAAAGGACTGGCTGGCACCGTGGAAGTATCTAAAATACATATGCCATTGGGTGATCAACATACAGTGTGTTATGACAGTACTGCGCGCTTTTGTTTGAAATGTTTTTCTGGGGGAGGGAAAATTTATTAAGAGTGTTTCTGAGTGGGGCCTAGTCACCAGTGGTTCTGTGTTAATGATGCTTTGTTGCCATTTTGTATGTTGGGTCAGTACCTTTTTTCCACATTTCTCTTTATGTTCATTACAGATTGCTTGCAGAATTCATGTGTTTAAAATATAGAGAAATCTATTTGAGTCTGGATATTCATACATATGTTTGTTTTTCCTTGGAAGACTTGAGGTCTTGTGTTTCTGGGTTGTTGGAGCTCTTAGGAAGTCTGGTAAACAGGCTCGGGGTGGAAGCTCCTGAGTTTCCAAATACATTTCTAGTGAGAGATCATGTGCAAAATGATGCCTGGAGAGCCCGATACAAATGCACATCGTTTAGCCCCTGTTCAAGCTCCAGAGGCTTTAAAATGGTGATTCTATAGACGAGTCAGGGAAGTGTTCAGACACCAACAGCTTGACCAGGTCTGAAACATCTTGTCTGCTTTGCAGGGTCCCAGGCCAGGGCACTAAAGCATCACTGCGAGAAGGAAGAGAACTGTCTAGCAGCTTCCTAGCATAACATTTTCATTGATCAAGCTCATGAAAATCTGATTTGCTACTGAAAATACAGTAGTTTGAGCAAGTTAACAATGTGGGAATTTGACTTGAAACATGGTTTGAGTTGATAAAATATAAAATTTATATTCAGAATATATTCTGCTAGATCTTCTATTTTTATTGGTTGAAGAGGACTTGATCAAACACAGGCCCTAATAAAACCATTGGCAGAATTTCTGTTCTTCTGTCCCGCTCCCTGCAATGCAATTGTAGTTTAGTGCTGCCTGCGGAAGAAATGCTATGACCAGTACCTGTTTTATGACGGTATAAATATATGGCAGTGTTAGGTTTACGGTTGGACTTGATGGTCTTAAAGGTCTTTTCCAACTTAGATGATTCTATGAAATCACTCAGCCTTATTGTTTGCTTTTTATGGGCAAAAGCACATCTGCTGTCACCAAGAATTTCACTAAATCATTTACAACTAATTTTTTAGCTGTTTTATCTCTTTTTTTAATCGATGTGCAATTAATTTAGTATTCAGTGTAGCCTGAGGTTGGGCATCTTGATTCCCTGAATATGGATTGTCAGTCCCACTGTGATTACCTTACAATGGTTTTGGCAGGAGCTAATGAATGAAGAGCAATAGGACTGGAGAGAGCCTAACATCTGTACGTGTCGAGGCTCGCGAGTGCCCTCTCCTCAGCGCTGAAACCCCATGCGTCGGCTCACATGGCATCCCACATCTGGCAACGTGAGTCGTATGACAATGACAGATTACAGCTTTTCTCCCTGGTGTGACTGCACAGCAGATGTCATGTAGATGGGGTGAGATATGAGCTGCAGGCTCTCTGAATCTCGCACACAGGATCCCAGAGTGGGGGGAGGTGGGTCATTGCACCATACTGCAAATACACAGACCTGTGCGCGGGCAGGGATGAGCGTGTGAAGTGGGAACAAATGCAAGTTTCGTACTCAAATTTGTGAAACTCAACAGGTCTGGTGTACCGGCAAGCAGGATGATGCACCTAACTGTATGCTCGCACGTGTCCTCTGTGAAAGGTGCCGTGAGGAGGCTGTCCCGCAGCAGCGAGGAGCGCGGCTCGACTGCGGCGTTTGTCAGGCTCACGTCCTCAACCAGGCTGAGCAAAGGTAGTAAGTCTTAGAGCAGCCCTGCCTTCCAGTTCATCAGCCTTGTCCTCCGATTTTGTTTGCAGGCTCATTTTGAAAGGCAAAAATAAAAGAAGTGGGATTTCCAGCCGTGCATAAATGAGGTCCAAATTGGGAAGGTGTGTACTGTATGTCAGAGGAATGTGGAAAGGTGGTGTGTGCTCTTTTTCATAAAATAGGAATTGACTTAGATTTACAGCTTCCACCCACTCCCTTATCCCCTAAATACTGGCAACCACTGGGTGAGAACTGGGAAATGTCTAAGTCCACTCTAGTTAATAGCTGTTCCTCAAACTGAGACATTCCTAGCTATTAATTTAACAGTGACTTTTAAGTAGATCCCCAGTAATAATAAATAAATAAATGAATAAAAATACACCACCCCACCCCCCGCCCCCCCAGTAATAAAGTAGTGCTAAACCAGACCTGGTTGTCACACTGGGAAAAGTTCTTGTTTAATGCTATGTCCAATTTCAATTTATTTTTTAACATCTTCAGTAATTTCCGCCAGGCCACTGTCTTTAGTGCGGTTAGACTGTCCCAGGATGGTGATGATCACTGTCGTCTTGGCAGTCTGCCTCTGCAAGATGATTGAACCTGGTGGTGAAATGAAATTAATGATGAAGGATTGTACTCC